GGGGGGGGGGGGGGGGGGTGTACTCATAGTCGTGCATGCCGCAGTCGTTGGACCATTGGCCTCGCATCCCTTCAAAGCCGGGACGGAGCACGCCGGGTTCTAACCGGACCAGGCTCTCACATCACCAAGCGCGAAGCGCCGTGAGGTATTCGGCGAGTCTCATGGAGGGCGTGCTGCATCCTGCTAAGGGTGTTCGGCATCTTGCGCTTACTTCCGTGCGTACGGATGACAGCTGGTATGACTTAACATATTTTCTGGTGCATTTACTTCCAGAGACAGTTATAAGCACTGTGTAACTGCCTCGAGGGTGCTCGACCAATTTAACACAACGTGGTGACGTCATCCCCCTTGCGCGGAGCGGGGGTTCTCGACCCCGCACAACATAACCTACTCTACCGCCAGTCATGGTTTTCGCAACAAAAAAAAAACAGGGGCAAAAAAAAGCGGTAACCTGATCGCCGAGCTTACGAAGTGATTGGCTTGTGTTACAACGTCGTTGCCAAGCGACGAAAACCCAACCCCGATGGCAAACACCGAGGGGCGTGAAGGGAGGGCGGGGGGAATTATTGTAATGTGTTCACATGCCGGTAGTTGTTGGCCTCGCATCCCTACAATGCCAGGACGGAGCGATATGCCCGGTTTTCTGTCTTACAAGGATGGACGGGAGGGGCTGTAAACATTTAGAGAGCCGCGGACAGCGCGTTCTTTCCGAGAGTTGTGAGGGCCTCATTCGTATGCTAACGTGTTTCTTGGGGACAGCGGCTGCACGTTTGTGGCCAGCACAGCAGCTGCGAAGGTTTTCGATTGACAGCAGACACGTGCATGTCTAGCATTGACGATTGGAGATGATGGGCAGAGGTCAATAGCCAACACGAAAGACGCTTCGATGTTTATACGTACGATTTCCAACAACGGCAACAAAAATCATAACAACAGCAATTTCTACAACAGCAACAGCAGCAACAGCAGCAGCAGCAGTATTTAGCAGGAACTGCTTCGAATGCCTCGAGGCCCACAGCGCACCTGGTGAGCATCGAAGCCAGCCGACAAGAGGATAAGGTTTGGCTTGAACTTTTCCAGGGCGGCCACCACCCTCGCGGTGGCGCTGTGGAACCCCGCGGGGTGCACCTGTCAAGCACCAACACACGAAAAAAAACAGTAGCAAGGGGGACTCCGTGATGTGTCACTGGGTTGCGTATGGTCTTGGGGGCTCCGTGAAAGTTCTGGAGAGGGTGGCACTCAAGTGGACTTGGGGGCAGCCAAACCGAACCACGAACCCAGGTATGCATAGACAACTAAAAAAACTGCGCATCCACCAGGTTTACTGTCTGTCTTGGTGGGGCCAAGGGTATAGCCGAAGCTGCGAGCTTCATGCACGACCCCAGAGCGGTACAATAATGTCTTCACGACACGACAGGACCTCCATTGGTTGGCGAGAGCGCTAAAAAGTGGTGGTACAAACGGGGTCGGAAAGAGAGTGGCTCGACCAAATACAACGAATACCCCTGTGCAATCGAGTGCAGGATTGGGTTCATTGAAGGGATCGGTAGGTAGGACGTTGATGGGGGGTTAGGAGGAGAGAGAGAAAGACTTGGGCGAGCAGAATATCGTGCATCCTACCCGCGGGCGAATAGCATAGAATCCATCAATCAAGCGTACCCTGCGTGTTCACAAAAGAGCATGGCAACAACGCTACTTTTGGCGGGCTTATCAATGCTGGAAATGGGACAACGCTATTATCAAAGCCGGGGTATGAATATCTATGTAGTAGGTACATCATATCATGCCGTTCGAAGGGGAAAATAGTAATTCTTTGACGACAACTGACGAACCTTTGCTGCGACACAAAACCAAAACAAGTCAAAGAAAGGACAAACAAGCACCTGATCGCCCAGAGGGAGATTCAGAACGTTCCCGTGCGCCTCCCCCTCTGCGCCGGTCCCCGGAAAGATCTTCGCCTGAGAGGTGTTCTCACCCTCCCCTCGGTTGAAGGCGTGTATGGAGGCGTAAAGGAAGCCCGGGTGTTCGGTCCAGGCACAGCACGTCCTGGGTGCCGTTACCGTGGTGGACGTCGAAATCCACCACTGCCACACGAGCCATGTTTCTAGCGAATAAGCGATAGAGGGGGCGCCGGGGGGTTAATGGGCGGAGAGGCGGGGGGGGGGAGGGTTGGTGCCAAACGCAACGTCGTTGGTTGGTTTCTTCTTGGGTGGGGGGCGGGCGGGTATACATGGGCGAACAAAATCCAAGCGTATACGTAGTAGTCCGGAAGCTGGAAACAAGTGTCTACGGGCCTCCCGGGCGAGCGTACCGCAAATACCTGGTAGCTGACAAATTCCGAAACCAACACGGAACCACATGTCTGTCCGATGTACGCACGGCTCTCAAGCGTCTACACAAGACGACTTCGGCAACATCGGCTGTCGGATAACAGGAATACCAAAGGCCACCGATAGTCGCACCGTTCAAAGGCACGCACATCGACCCAACACATCTTGAAACACTTCTCCCGACCTACAACGCCTACCGTTGGTCGCACAAGACACCACACCCCCTTGGCCCTTTCTTCAAAAATCCATTACTCCGGAGAAACCAAAACACAGCTACTGGCTGCGCCGAAAAATGTCGGCGATGAAACGTCGTCGTCTGGTCGAGAGCATCCTTCTCACCGTGGAGTAACCGGCCTTTGAAAATCGGTCCAGGGGGTGAGGAACCTTACGCAACCCCCACGGTGTACACCGCACACAATCCACAATGCACTATTTGGTCGACAAGGCGCCATCGACCCCCTGCGCCCAACAACAAAAAAACGCCATCCAGAGTGAAGCCTTCCCCCCCTTCCACGTAGGAAGGAACGATTGGCCATCGGTGATGGGGTCCTGTGGGAACAATGCTCCGTCCTCTCGAGGACGCGTGGTCTATGGTCTAACCGCTAAGGCATGCAAAACATAAGAGTACGCCCCCCCCCCTTTCACGTACCCGTAGTGGTGGGCATAGAGGGCGGCGAGAGCCACGTTGTTGAGGATGCAGAAGCCGTTGGACACGGCACCCATGCAGTGGAGCTCCACCCCGGCGTGGTGGCCCGGCGGCCTTACCGCGCAGAAGGCGTTGTGGGCCTCGCCGTGAAGCACGCGGTCGACCGCTTCGAGCACCGCGCCTACGTGGGTGGTGTGTGGGTGTGTGAACCAGGGCAAGCGTTGGTTACCAGAGGCCATGGGGGGGAGGGGCGGGGTACTCGTAGAAACGCGTGCCGTAGTCGGTCGATCATAGAACGCCGGGACGGAGCCGTCGGGGGGGGGGTCAACAGACGAGAATTTGGCGGAGGAGAGCCGGCATACATGACCACCACCGCACCTGCATTGTACCGAAAACATGCGTACAATAGCACGAGGGTTTTAACAACACCGCCAGGCGTTGAAACAAAAAAATATTATTCCGAAAACACACTTGGCACACCTGCGGCAGTCATCGCTGCCTCCCACGAGCGCTTGTTGCCCACCGTGTCCCTGCCGTACACTGCCATGGCCCTCTCTTGCGCTCCGCCTGACCCGACAGATGCAAAAGTTTCACCACACAAACACCCATGATAAAGAAGAGACGACGCACGAAGCGAGAAAGCCTCGCGATGTGAGATGCTGGCGGCGATGTTGGTATCGATTGATGATCGCTGTTGGTCGCGGCGTCGACATTGTTACGACCAGCCCCAAGCGGGGGACACTTTGGCCCCTAGCCACGCCAAAGGATAAAGAGCGTCACCAGCGCTAAATCAAAACTAGGATCACCTACCTCCCCCCCCCCCCACCCCCTCCCTCTAGACATGCCGAAGAATAACTTACGATTTCTATTAATGTCATTTTTCCATTCTCTCATGTAGGTATTATCCACCCTCGATCGAATCACCACCGCTGCTACTGCTATGGCAACACGACACGACATCACGACATACCTCGGTCTCCTCCGCCCAGACCTCCCAAGTCATCCTCGCTGCCGTCCACGGCCGTTAGGCACTCCACGCTAGACCCGGCCTCGTCTACCCTCGTCCTAAGCTGGTCCACGTAAGTTCGGCTGTGCGCCAGCATCAGCATCGTCTCCGGAGTGACCATCTCCACCCAAGCGGGGTCGACCGAACGTTTGAGGACGGTCTGGACAAGGGGGAGGAGGGGGTTAAGGGAAAGGAGTGGAGGGAGGCGTGATGAGTTGGAGAGGGGTGAAGAAAAAAGAAAGAAGGAAACAGGAGTGACCGATTGCGGGCGTTTTATCGGGTACGTGCCAAGCGGATTCACCCGCCAAAAAAGCGAGTAACCGGTCCTATGAAAGGTGTAAGCAAAACGACCTGCGGTAACTCCATCTGTGCCGAAAGACGTTACACGCCGTGTGTACGGGCCAACCCCTCTTCCAGAGGGCCCACGATTGTAGTTTGTTCAACGACATCATAGTGTTGTATCGACGTTTGTGAAACAGAATCATAGTGATGTATCGATAAATTTAGTTGTTGAACAACATCATAGTGATATATCGATGGTTGCTAAACAACATCATAGTGATATATCGAAGGTTGCTAAACAGCATCATAGTGATACATCCATGGTTGTTAAACAACATCATAGTTCTTCTGTATCGTTGGTGCCGTCTGAGAAACGCTGCATCCTATACAGCAGTCTGGCTCCCGCCACGGCAGCGTAAGCTACAGCAGCCCCATACACCCACAGGGTGAGCACATGTTCTTCGCGCACCACTGCGCATGTCATTCTTGCGGGCATGATTCCATCGCCCACAGCACCACCCCATCTGAGTGTGGACGATGGACCATGCCCGCACATGAGTCCCCCCCCGACCCCCGCAGACGTACTTGAAAACGGTCGGTCATACATACTGCACCTCGTTGGGGTAGACCTTCTGCAGGAAGAGCAGAGCGCGCCAGGCTTCGTCCATTCTGCGAGGCTGTTTTCCCAGTGGAAGGGGGCGCAGAGAACGAGACAACAACAACAACGAAAGGGTGTGACGTTCTTGCCGATCCTCAGAAACGTACGGATAAACGGGAGGCGTTTTGGGGGGGAACTAGCGGTTTTTCGTGTACCCGGAGAGGCGGTTGAACAACCGAACGTCAATCAATACTCAGGGAGTGCTGGGCTGACAGCACGAGGTGGAAAGACTATGAAACATAAGTCAGCAGCAGCAGCATGCTAGTACATAGCAACCGCGTACATGTATCCAACAACGATGACAACGACGGCATACAACAGCATCGGCAACAGCACAACAGCAGCAGCAGCAGCAGCAGCAACAGCATACCAAACAACCCTACACACCAACAACAACGAAACAGCAAACAGCAAACAGCAACAACCGGCCTCTCCCACCCCATTCGGGAGGGAAGACGAAAAGCGGTCACACCTCACAAGTGCATCCCTCCCACACCATACCACGCCACACCACACCTGTTCCAGCCTATCCTCAGGAACGGCGTGAAGCCGACACGTGCCGTCCGTCAACAGCAGCGTCCTCGCGGCCCCGACCCTCCTCCTCAACGCCGACCGGAGGGCCGCCCACTCCCCCCTGACCCCCTCCAGCATGGCCGCCTGCTCGCGCAGGAACTCCTGTCGCCCCGAGGTGGCCACCGCTTCCCTCTCCTTGTTGGACAGGGCCGCCTGCCGTGGACGATGGATGAGACAGCGAGCGAGCGACGAGGAAGGCATATGTACAAGAGGGAAATACTACTCTGTTGTTGAGCTGCTTATTGCGCGAGCAGAGAAACACGAGAGCATTCTTCGTTGTTGAGCTGCTTGCGTCACGACAAGGCAAACGGGTGTGGCTTCTCTTTTGTTGAGATGCTTACGTCTTGCTGCGCTTTCGAGTATAGTGCTGATGCTTCTTCGCCAGTTCTATTTTGGGTGTATAGAGGCCGAAATCAAATCATTAATCTAGACCATGTTCGTAGGCATTCTTGTTCCTTTTGGCCACAAAAAAGGGGACAGTGTGCTACCGATGGTGTTGTCATTGGTCGTTCGATGGGGTGATTATGAACATCTACAGAATGCACACCTAATGGCCGACTTGAGACTTAGTACCGCGTCTAATCGTCTTGCGGAAGGAACACTCCATCGTTATTCCCAGGTGTCTCCCCCAAGTTGATGCGTTTGTACGTCGCTTTTGAAGGATGGATGTCACAAAAATGAAAAATCACGCGTGAAATACCTTGAGCTTTTCTCGGTCCTCCTTCAGCAACTGGAGTCGTTCCTTCCCCTGAGACACGGCAGCCTTGTTAGCCACCGCGGCTTCCCTCTCCGACACGAGGGCGGTCTTGAGCGCCTGCAAGAGGAAGCGGCGGCGGTGGTGGCGACGGCGGACGTGCGAGGGGGAACAACAAAATATCAATGGGGAACCTTTTTCTTTTGGCGATCGCATCAAATTTAGCGCTCACACGCGGCGTTTCTGGCAAGTACGAACTCGAATCCGTGGTCACAACGCGGAAAGAAGGGTTAGGGGTCCTCCTGCTACACTCGCCCCTCCTGCATGCTTGCCTTCGAGTGGGGAAACTAAAGAACCAAAACACGGCAAAAAAAAACTGCATTGAGCAAATGTAGATGGATGATTGCTAGACGGCCGTTAGTCTGCCAGAGATCTCAGGTACGGGGTTCCGTGCCGGACGCCAGGGAGGGGGGGACCGCCGGTGGAGGGGAACGCTGCCTCTAAATAGAGTGGTGAGGTAATGTCTAAAAGGGTGCTATGGTTACGCCATGGGACCCGAGGAACCGAGACGTTTAGTCAAGCCTGCAAGACTGGCACGGCAGTCTGACCATCTAAATACAAGGGAACGTTGAGAGGCCATATCATAGTCTTGAACCAACGCAGCAGTGCAGCAGACAACTATTTCTCCGGGGGAACGGCCGCTCTACCGTGCAAATTTTAGTGCACCGCCCATTCATGTCGACGATAGCATCTACAGTGAGAAAGGTGGGCGTGGTTTACCTGAGCCGACTTGGCTGACAAGGCCTTGCTCGCGATGAGCTCAAGCTGGGCAAGATCCGCCACCTGCTCCCTCTCATCAGCCTGTTGAAATTACCAGCAGAGCAACCACGCAAGGGAGGCAAGCCAACAGACGCCCATCAGTTCCCGCTTCAAACAGACATAGTTATGCATCGAACAATCAAGCATGGGGGCAAAAGCGAACAGAGCCTACCAGTCCTTCTTCAAACAGACATTTGCACAATCGGCTTCGAACGTCCACATGTTTCGGAGATAAATACATTTCCCGCATGATACCACGTGGGCATTGACAGACAGATGCCTTGGAAAGACAACAGCCACCGCGGACACGCGGTCTAGATATCTTAGCAGCAGCCGAGAAGACCCATAAAACTGTCAGCAGCGTAACACAAAAAAAAATGTATCCCTGACGCTGTTTAGGGAAAGATAAATTTGTCGATAAAAAACACGCCACGGTGAGAGCAAGCAACACTCTATTGCGGGGTCTGTTCTCGCCTCGGCCTTGGCGAGGTCGGCAACAGCCTCGGCTTCCTCCTTCTCCAACTCCCTTAGCCGCTCTCTCTCCTTACGGCATGCGTCCCTCTCCAATGCGAGGGTGTAGCGTCGCAGCGACCTCTCGTCCTGTGCCCGCGGTGGGGGTGGCGGTACCGGTATCCGCATGAGAAGCAAGGGAGGGCAATAGCGCGACTGGTTGGAGGCGAGCATGAGCGACCTAATGAAGAGAACCGTTCGCCACACCTTCACACAACGGATGACCGCAATGTGTGTTTTTCCCACAACATCAAGTTTAGGGTTCCGAAGCATGTATAGTCCTCACCAAGCCCGCTCAACCAAATCCCCCCCAAACTAGAAAGACCTACTTGTGTAGCGTCGACAATCTCCAACCTGAATCCCAAAAAACACAAAAGCGCGCTCGCACCAACGCCTTCGACACCCATCACCACAAACCGAACACATTCCAACCTCTCTCCCACCTCATCCAAAAGCTCCTCCACCCCCCTGTCAAGGCCGCCCAGCGCCTCCACCGCGGCCGTCGCCTGCTCCTGGGCAGCGCCCCACCCGACACCCCCTTCCCCCGCCGGCTGCTGCTGATCACCGCCCCCGGCCCCAACAACGCCGCCGGACTGCTGCGGAAAACTTCTCTCTGTGGGCGGGCTAGCAGGGGTAGCGCTACTAGCGCTACCGCTACCGCTACCGCCGGGGGCAGTCCCGTCCCCGCCATATCCCGCTCTTCTCGCTTCTCGAACGAATCCGGCTACGCCCACGATTCTGGCGAGGGTCTGTGCGAGGTATCCCCGACGCAGGCCTCGAGAAACGGCCGGCGTCAGGGATACGCCCGCCGCCGCCGCCGCCGGTGCGCTGTCGCTGTTGGCGACCCCGCCGCCGCCGCCGCCGCTCTCCTCCTGCCGGCCTTCGGCACCGACTTCAGTCTTCGGGTGATGTTGCTCTGTGCCGCCAGCGGCGGGGTGCGCGTTGCTCCCGGCGGCGGGGGCGGCGGCGGAAGGAGAAGAATGCCTCCTGGATCCCGATCCGGATGATGCCGGCGGCGGAGAGGCCGGGACCCCGCCGCCGCCGCCGCCGCCCCCGAACCCTCCCCTTCCCCGGGCCCACAGGTACTGCACCAGCAGGACCCCGTCCAGAAGCTCTGCCTCTTCGTCTTCTTCGACCTTCTCCACCCCCTCCTCGACGTCCATCCCGTCCCCTTCTTCCCCGTCTTGCCGGACACCGCCGCCGGCCGCCGCCGTCATTCTAGTGGGAGGCTTCTTGCCCGAACCGCCCGTTGTCTTCGT